GCAACGAAATTAAATGAACCACGTAGTACTAGGCAGTTATGAAGTGCAGTATAATGGCATAATGCGAAGCGGCTGAACTCAAATCATCTACCTATCGTCCCTCTTGAACCACATGTTTATTTATCAATCACAGAATAATGTATGGCACAGTTGCGATCACGTAATTCCGAACCCGATTCACTTTTCTTAATAGCTAGTGTAAGGTAAGTGAGATAAAACTCCATAAGACCCCAAGAGAAAGTGTGTGTTAAGAAAACTCAGACTACCATCAAGTCGACCCCTCGGTAAATTTTGAAAGGTTATGATACTTTAGCCAGTCTTATCACAGCTGCAGGTCGTGCGCGTCCGAAAAGATCGATGACAGGAGGCCACTGTGGAACGAAATCAGGAAATAGTAGTAAGACCAACGGTCGCAGAAATAATATAAAGAAGGTGAGAAGACTCTTTCGTCTCTTTATTTCAATGGGCCCTACTATTTGTAGAGCTATGTTAGCCTGATACATCTCTATGTATTTGTCACGAAACTCTGTACTACTTGAAGATCATCTGGAGAAGCCGAGTCAGAGCCGGGTAGGCTAGGGGATTACATGTGCAGAGCAGGCTCAAGTGAGGCGTCGAGGGAAATTTTGAAATACGACCCCCTCGCCAGTCCTTGAAGCGACTCACCTCACAAGGCGTAGTATGAAAAAGTTCATACTACGCCTTGTGAGGAGAGTCATGTTGTGAGGTTTCCCCGAGAACCTTTCATAAAAAAACCCAGCTACCCCACCCTCTACCATAAAAGTCGTTCAACAAGGAAAAAAAAAATTGTGAAGTCACTCAGTTAATTTTGGAGTCCGACAACAATAGGAGCAAACACGAACGAACTAGGCGAGGAAAAAATAGGCATACTATGACAGATCCATTCCTCCTTTATTCTTTTAAAAGCATGCCAAGTTTCGTAGTACTTACAACTGAGTATGCCTTCTCCAATCGGACGCTGCCACCTAATGGTTGGCAGAAGCTTGTAAACCGCCTCAGGCAGCTATGTATTCATTGTTCTTGGAGGTTGACCATGGAGCAGCTTATGAACTATTGAATTTAAACACCTTTAAGTGACTAACTTTCTTCAAAGTTAACGAATTTTCAATCTGAAAGCAGATTTGGAAGTTTTGTGAAGAGCTTTTTCTAATCAGTATTGAAATTACAAAAAGTTATAAGAAATAACAAATTTAGGTCAATTAACGAGGAAAATTCGAGATGAGCACGAGTTTTTACACTTTCCGAAGCATAACTTGCTTCATTTTCGTCAAATCTCGAAAAGTTAATATGGCAGACAAAACTAGAAGATTTTCTCTATCAAACGGTTACTAAACTGCTCAATACGTCCACTATTTAAAAATGGCCAGGTTTTTTTGCTCAGGTACCGCCAAAAGGTACTTTTCGCTGCATTGAACTTTTTCATCGACTATAGCTTCTTTCAGAGGCGGTTACTTACAAAAGACAAAAACAATAGGTAGCGGGGTTAAAATCTACGTGCTTTTTTCTTCCTAATAAGCGTAAACATTTTTACAGTCCTCAAATTTAACGATTACATGTTTATGAATTTTACGCTGAAGCTGGCATTTTTTGTTTGAATAGTGCACTCCTCTCAGTCACTTCACACGGACCCTTCAGATCCTCTTGATTTTTCTGTTTAGTCAGACATAATTTTCTTTTCAGGCCGATAGTTGAAGCGTGCATAATGATCAGCTGAGCTCACTCTGGGGACGCCGCGCTGATGCTTCACATCCAATTCATTATGGGTGGACTCATATGAAGGATCAAATATCCCATAAGGCCATTACTATGCGCCGTCAGCCATTCGATGCACTGAGAAATTCTATGTGAGCGAAATAACATTGTTTATTTGGAATACCAGTTGGCGCCGCACGCGTTGCGCGCACAGCACAGTTCTGCGGCGATATAGGATGGTGCGGCGTGAATTTTCGAATTTGGCCCAATACACTTCGAATATTTGACTTTCAAGCTGAATTCTATCCGATTGCCCCATGCTTCATCCACCGATGGCTTTTGAGCTTCCCTCCTTCCTCCACCAATTGTCCGTAATCGTCAACCAATTGTCCGTTTTTCCCGGCCTCGGACTGCCTCCGGACCGATTTATGAACCTCGTGGTAAACTCCGCCTATTTCTTTGCATGTCCCACCTATCTTTTTTCTTCCTTCGCCACAATTTCTCCTCTTTTTACCCAAATATTCTGGTGAATTATTTCTGGGCCGATTTATAGTTTTACCGGCGGAATCCTGCTTTTTTGGTGTATCCTCCGCACACCATTAAGAAATTCACTTCCTTTTCTTCGCTCACTTCTCTCCCGGTCTCCAGCACTTCCTGCAGCTGAGTCACAAAGTTTTGTGGAGAACTCCGCCTACCTTGGAAATGCTCCGCCCACTAACAGTAGTTGGGCTCACTTTCCACTTCTTACCCCACCTCTATTCCATCCTTTTTCCCGGTCTCTGGGACTTTTTGGAACCGAGCTATGAATTCCGTCGCAAGTTCCGCCCACTTTGGTGTACGCTATACCCAATAATAGCAGTTAACTTCCCTTCCGTTGTCGAACTCAGTTCACTTTTTCCCGGTCTTATGAATTTCCGTCGCAAACTCCGCCCACTTTGGTCATGCCCCGCCCACCAACAGCAGTTGGGCTCCACTCCTTCACCCACCTCTATCCACCTTTTTCCCGGTCTCCGGGACTTCTTGGAACCGAGTTATGAATTTCCGTCGCAAACTCCGCCCACTTTGGTGTACGCTCTACCCACCAATAGCAGCTGTCCTCCCGTGCGTTGTCGGACTCGACCCACTCTTTTCCGGTCTCCTGGACTTCTCGGAACTAAATTATAAGTTTAGGGCAAACTCCGCCCACGTTGGTGCACGCCCTACCCACCAATAGCAGTTGACCTCCCTTCCGTTGACGAACTCAATTCACTTTTTTCCCGTCTCCAGGACTTCTTGGAGTTTATGAATTTTCCGTCGGATAACGCCGCCCACTTTGGTTATACTCCGCCCACCGATGGCAGGTTGGGCCTCCACTCTGGTCACCCACCTCTATCCGCCTTTTTCGCGGTCTTCAGGACTTCTTGGAACCGAGCTATGGATTTTCGTGGATAACCCCTCCCACTTCGGTGATGCTCCGCCCAACGATTACGGTTGTTGGGGTAGGCGTGTCACCGGAAGTGACGTGCAATTGATAGAAGTTGCGTGGATAAGCGGTTGCTAGCATGCCTAGCTGTATATCCAGCTGATGACCCACGGGTTGGCTTCTCAGCAAAGTTTCGCCTCTATTTTCACATAGCGGTCGTCACAGTTGACCATTCACGTCTCTTGATTTACGTTTTAATACGCTTTCTCACCTAAGGAAATCCTTCATAAAGGAAAAGGATAAAGCATTTGCCGTTGATCAATCCCTTTTTGGGATGCGGCACGCATTCTACTTCCATTTGTACATTCGTAGTGGCGTTTGAATGCGATGTGGCCTATACAATGACTTGCGGGGGCCAGCCGATGTACAAGTCAGTGTTTTTATCCTCCCAGACAAGTCTGGTACCAATTAACCGACCCCGGAGGGATGGAAGGCTTGGTTGGCCCGGGCGACTCACGACCCAGGATTTGATCCCCGGACCGCTCGCGTGGTGAGCGCGCCACTTGTCACTACACCACTTCCGCCCCGCGGCTCTTTATGGCCATCAATAGTTACCCCTTCGCTATCCGAATCTAGCCGCGGGCTTTAGCCTTTTCAGCAGAAGAGGAGAGCTGAGCGTTCACGCCTGCTGGAAGGCGATTCGATCATAAGGAGTCGCTGCGACGCAAATCAGTGGAGAAGAATGGAGTCCTTTTTGGTCTTTAGGTCATTTCTCCTGAATTCTTTCCCACAGCTGCATTCTTTCCAAAATTGCTCAAGAAAAAACCTGTTATAAAATTATCCGCTCCCCCCTTCTTCCACTGCAGCACAACCCATCAACTTCCGTCACCTTACCTCTAAGAATCTCTGATACGACTATCTTTTCCACAATCACAATACCCAAAAACTAAAAATAAGACACATCCAGAAATCCCAAATACGACTTCCACTGGTCATTGCAATGGTACGGATGACTCCCGTGAAGTCTACAGACTCAAATGATTGACATGGGATCCTAAAGATACTAACTTTTGTTGGACAAGAAGCAAATAGTTTCCCCGTAGCAACATTCGTTGTGAACAGTAGTGCGAAGAATCTGGTAATAAGAAGAAGACAGGGTATATTAAGCTCTTGGAAGTTTGTGGGGTTCATTGGAATGAGGATAGTATTCTACTAAGACAGGGTATTTCACTATGTAAGCGGTGTTGCGCCGCATCGTGCCGAAATCACTAGGTGAAGTGTTCGAAGGTGAGACGGACATTGTATTCTGAGTTGTTTGATTTGCATGGAGTGATCCGTACGCTTCTGTTTTGAAGAATTGCTTGCAGAAGAGCCACCCTTGGAGTCGTAAAACTTCCTCTTCAAAATCCAAAAGCACCCGCAGTCCATCCTCTGTTGCTGATGAAGAGTGGGAATCATTTTTTTAACGATCGTTGAATAAGGAAGTTGAAGAATAGACTAATAGGAACTTATTTCCAGAGACAGGTCTCCTCTTGAATACGTTACGCCGATTGTGTCGAATCGCAATTCGCCATCTCTGTCTTCTGCTAAACGTGTTCAAAGACGCGGTATAGAAGAAGTGCCTCTGTTGAATTACTCGATGTTATTGTTCCCGAAGAAGTGAACAAAAGTAGTATTCAGTAAGTTTTTGTGGAAGCCTAGTCGTTTTACTTGCGTATCATTGATGTTTCAGCGCAAATTCATCATCAGATGTTCACAATTTCCTTGAATCTCTTGGTATGGGCCAGTACAAAGCCAGCTTTACAGGGTGCGTCCCAGCTTACGCCTTATCAAGTTTTACAAAAACAAAATATCCGGTTGACAACTTCACTGTTCGTGATACATAATGCATAGCTGTACTCAATATAAAGCACTTAATGATGACAGTAATAAAACCACGCATATGTACATGTAAGTAACCACTTAGGCAAGAGCGTTATCTTCAACTTGACCTCTTACTTTCTCTGCTCTCAGTTCATTGTTGTTTTTGCACTTATAATTACGAAAATGTAGTGGGAAAAGTTGATGAGGACGCTCGCAATGCACAGCTGGTAATTTTCTTGCTTAGCCTGTTACGACTGCACTCACTCACTGGTGTAACTATTGCTCGTTCCGGGTCTTCTGCATAGAACAGCAATATTTGCGATGCATATTGATCGATAGGCCGTGACCCCAAACTTCTTTGGCCTTCTGCTGCTCCTACATGACCGCCTGAGTCCTTAAAACCAAAATGGAGGCTTAGGCATTGAAAACATAAAATTTAGCTCATGCCTCAATTTGTCAGCCTCTGCCCACTGGGTCATGCTCTCGGACGACTCAGCCTACATGCCCTAAGGACAACTTTCCACCTTCCTAGACTATGCCACAGCTCCTTTATTAGGCCTACATAGCAAACAAAGCTGCCTGTCACAAACAGACAGACAGAATGATAAATAAAGACAAACTAAACTGCTGCTTCAATATGAGTGAGCGTGCTAAACAGGCGAGGATGGGGAAAACTTTTAACTTGGAAACACTTTGGAAGGCAATTTTACAGTTGCTTGACGAGTTGTTTCTAAATGGTACTGAAACCGTGGAAATTAATGAGAAAGGACCGTTCTGGGCAATAAACAACTAAAATTTTTGCGAAGCTAGCTTTCACATTTCCGTAAGCCATAGCGAAACCGCTTGATGTAGCGTTGTAATAAAAATTAGCACTATCATTCGACTACTGGACCGAATTCGTACATTCGTCAAGAATGGCCCCGTTAAGAATTTTCGTGTGGTGCTGAAAGATTCTCCTTCAGTGTATTGCCACTCATTCAAGAAGCATAGCTTCTTTCGTAAAAAATTTTGTTCTAATATCAAAATTGCTTTGGGATTCAAAAGCTTTCTGTTTTTGTCAATAAGAATAAAAGTACTGTAAGTTCTGAGAGCGATCCCCTTCGGGATCCTCTTGATGTATGTCAAGCTGGGATCTCTATTGCAGGGAACGAGAAGTGAAGCGCATGGCATTGGTCAAACTCGCGCAGAGACGCACCGTGCACAGGCGCAATTCAACACAAGGTCTGATCAAGTCCGTCCATGTGACCGCGGCGCTGATCACTGCTGGTCCCGGCTGTCACAATCCCCTCCCCTCACTGGACTTAACACGACCCCACATCGTCGAAGAATTCAAGCCTCGCATGGCCCTGATAACCTGCAACATAAATTTGCCATGGCTAGATGGAAGAATCATTGCCCAATCATCTTCATCAGTTCATTTTTTCTTGCATTCTGCACAATAGTTTGTTTTGTGATGTTTGTTACAGGTTCACTTTACATGGGTTGGGTATACTAACGCCTGACGAGCTTGTATCGATGGGTTTAGAGACAGCACATGCTTATTGCATCTACTCTACCTTAAAGGCCAGGTGAAGTCAAGATTTTAATAATTACCACCAATTGCCACACTTAGCTTTGATTGTATTTGTCTGGCAGTTTCTTTGTTTATGCACTTTGACGGCTCAACGTTTTGTTGGGTTCTAACACTTGTAACATCATAGAGGGTTGTTAGTGCTAAGTGGTTATCAAATTTGAAAGTAATCTAAGAGCCTTGTTAAGGGGACATTTTTCAAGGTCGCAATTTTTCTATATCCTAGGAAGAAGAATACATGCGAAAGCTCCAGCAAGTCTATCCAATCTTCTGGAGGGATAAATATTTATGTCGCGCAAATGGCCAACATCGGTGGAGAGCTTGTCTACAAAATGGTGCACCTTCGTCAGAGAACAAAAGTGAGTGTTCCTCAGAAAATCAACTTCTATAGTGCTTCTACTAATCATTGTTTCTCCCCTTGCAGGAGGAGTTATACAGTGCACTGAGAAATTGTAACGCGATCCGGAAGAGTGACAGAACACGCATGTTTTACGTCGGTCCTGCAGGCATTAAAGTGGAAATGTCGGACGAGGTCTGCCAAATTGGTTTCTTTTTCGAAATATTGTTTAAATGTTTAACTGTTTCGAGGTGAGATTTATTAAATGGTAGCGGTCACGATAATAAGGGTGCTCATGAGTACGTTTTGTTGGGCAATGTAGAAGGCAGGAACCTACCCAGGGAGAAGTTGGAGCGACAGTACCAGCAGGAATCTTACCTTCGATTCTAATGGGGTGAAAGATGCACCAGCCCTTTTCAAAAACATGAGTGTCACTTAACAAAAAACTCATCTTGGAAAGCCGTTAGGAAGGGAGTTATACGCCTTGAAGTAAGAGTTACGGACAATCTTCCGTAACGCCTCTTTTTGATTGGTTTTACTTGCTTAACTCATTTGATTTTTTTGCTTCTTTGTTTGTACTGATGCATATGTCTCTGTTTGTATTGGTGCATATGCGATTGCAGCCGCATTTCTTGCTGGCACGAGCCAGCAATAAATGCCGGCGGAGCAAGCTAGTTCGGACAGCTCGTCCGACACGCCCCTTCCTTCATTTCAAGGGAAGAGGGGGAGTCCCTGTTTAAAGGCTTCATCGGCGGTTTTCTTGCTTTTTTCATTAGCAGTCAACTCGCCATGTACAACTTCATTGTCGACCGGTTTTACCCTGCAAATTCGATCTGGAATTGTTGCTTTGAGTGGCTCGCAGGTAGAAAGCTCTTTGAAAACTGTATTATAATGCACTTAATATGTGCATGTATAATATAGGCCCCAAACGCCCATCACTGAAAGTGACAAGGAGTTTTTGGAATTGTGGAGACATACATATATTTCAATGGAGTGACTCGCAAAATTAGTCAACCACAAGTTGCCCATTGTACAAAATGAACGGGCAGGATAAGGCTTCTTTCTATGAGCCCAACCACTTCTTTCTTTTTCTTTTGTCTGGTGCATCGTTTAGCACCTTTTATTTCACATTTCATTGATGCTAAATTATCGTGACCGGTTGCATTGAAAATGAGGTATCTCTTAGTTGTTGTCTTGTGTACTCATTTGTATCTGCAGGTGGTCTCCATGTGGAAAAACGAATCAGTTTTCGCGATCTCTTCCGTCGGTGCAGTTTACCATATTCAGACAATGTCCCGCTGAATCCCCAATCACATTGACAACTCGATCGCACCGCATTATGTTACAATTGGGCGCGCGGTCGCGAAACGGCTGCCCGTTTGGGTCGACATTGGAGTCACTAGATGAGGCTAGTTTTCCATGACATCGCGCTCAGTTGTCATGTGTTGCGAGTGTAATTCTGTGAGTAGCTGAAACCATGTAAATGCGTTCATGACCGTTTTTTTTACTGGTGCTTAGATTAGCTCTCTATGAATCAAACTATATGCCATTGTTCTTTGTTCCAATGAAGAATTGTTAGACAGGATGTTCACTTTTATACCGTAACGGTACTACGAGCCAATCGTGTATTTGTAAATCATGTACTAATTGTGAAATTAATTAGTTTGTGGTCGGCCGCGAATTCTAGGAAGTTGAGCGAAATGAGTAAGTAAGTGCTTCTATTTGGATATGCAACTCACCAACTATTTTGTTGTTCCATTCTATTACAGGCGCTTCGTGGTGGCATTGTGTCGAAGTTGGCTGAAGACGGCTACCGGGCGACCTCGTTAGCTGGCGCAGTTGATCTGAAAGGAGAAAGTGTACACGAAATACAGATCAGGTACGAGAAATTTTGGGCATGATCAACAGTTTCCGGGGTGCTATACAAGTAGGGTGGGCACGCCGCATTTTTTGAACAGAAATGTATGTAAGTGGGACTGCTGCCCGCTACTATACTGTCACGAGAATCGGGGAATTCGTGAGCCAGGGGAGTGTAGCCAATCTAGGGAGGGGGGGGGGGGTGAGGGCAGTCACTTGACATGCGTGAAAAGCTGGGCGTGCCCACTCCACCTATATAGAACCGTTTCCGGATTTTGAGCAAAGAAGTAAGCACTGTGCTACTCAACAATGTTATGCCCTCAGGTAATAGTGTAAACTTATAACAGTGTATGTGGGTCACAAAACTTAAGTAATGTATACGCTTTACATTCCTTCCTGTCTTATTGTGTCCGTACTTGAATGAGTCTAAGTTCTCAATGAGTAACATGAAAAGAAATCCTCCAACGATTCAGAGAGAGGGAGGGAGAGAGAGAGATTACAGGAAACAAGGAAAAGTCGGAAGATATGATGGCGGTGTCGCAGGTTGTCATTAGGACTAGTGGATCATCAGTCATCAATGATTGGTTGCCTACTCCAATGGCTAGAGTGCAGACCACGGAGTGACTTGCATAATACTTTATCACATTGTCACATTAGAGTGATTGATTCATCAATTAGTCTTTGTCAGATTGTCCGTAGAGGTGCAAGGAGCTGAAGGAAATTCTAAATCGTTGAGACAGTGATGAGGCTACTATACCAACAAAATATGTTCGTAGTCTTGGCGAGGAGCATGGATAATAGAAGAAGTATTGTTTTGAATGTTTGTTCAATGCAGGGTTTCCGGCGCAGTGTAAATGAAACGACTATTCGTATTGGGGCACGTTTTCCGATTTTTGCGCAGAAAAAGAGGACATTTAGGGCCACTAAGGGTGGTGAAGACAATAGTACGGTACACAGTAATGTGTGGATATTGGCTTTCCAAGTAGAGACGGTCAACCGTCGCACTCATTTGTTTTAGAAACCTACCCTTGGTCCAACCTCACATCACAGGGAAGGGAGCTCAACCTACACCATCACCACCACTTCCACCCCATGACTGTGTCTACATTATTTGATTTCGAGATAGGGCAGGGACTTCTCTTCTCGAAGTTCCTTTCAGAGTGATGTGAGTGGAGGGAGGGGATTCTTTTCGGGTGTAGTGCTATTCGGTTAGGCATGCTGATTTTTGGAATACGACAGGCACGAAATATACGTCGTTGCTGGTGTCCACTGCTGTGACCTAGCAAAATCATATGGAAGTCAATAATCGCTGTCTCCTTTGCATTTCATCTTTAATGGTATTTATCACTGAATCGTTCTACACTATCAAGCGATAGATTGGACCCTTGGGTAGGGTGAGAGGCTTCCTTCTCCCAATGCTTAGTCCATCGATTCCCGTTAGGTAATAGCGGTGAGCTCCAGTCCACGTACATTTCGCTCCTATGAAAAATCAGCGTGCCTATCTGACTAACATTGCACCAATTTTAGGCGCACGACAGTTGCTCTGATTTCTGCAACCGATATCCAAAATCTTAAGTCCGCTCCTCAAAAAATTCCAGCTCGATACCACGTTCACACACCGCGCGTGAAGGGTGTCGCCCGCAACTACGTTGCCCTCATCTCCCATCAACAGGACCTTTTCGACCTACAGCGGTGCAAGCCTCTCGGGAATCCTGGAGAGGCGAAGAATCTTTGTCAACCCTAAAAAATAACGATAACCCGGTCGTATTGTCAAAAAACGGTTGACTGTGAGCAGGGGTGCCTGGTGCCATGTGGAGCCCATTATCGATTTCAGTAGTCAAGTCACAGCTTTGATCACGCCCAGCTATGACAAGCCTCCATTCCCGAAGTAGTTATCCCGTGGAGAACTGATAGAACAGAAATACTGGCTTGTAGTTTCACCATATCCCGCGAAATCTCTGCGGAAGGTGGCCAATTCACATTTATAGACCAAGTCATATCAAAGGTCACTGCGATTCTGATTGAAACCAGACTGCCTGACGCATACTAAAGAAAGATTGAACTTGCTGGTGTGTTATACTTTTGCACTTTTTTGACGTCTCACTTAGGTAAACAAACGATAGTTTTCGAAAAAGGTAAGCCACATTTGATTTTCCCTCATGAACGCAGACGTCTTTGAAGACGCACATATCGTTTTATGAAGTGGATTAACAAAATCTTATTGCATTCACTGGGAAGATTCGTTAGCGCGTTTATGCAAACGTCATGTTGCATTTTTGCTCTCCGCCCTGCTTTATGCTCAAACGCTCTCATCTGTTCAGACTGAAATTTCACCGTTAGCTTTAGGGTCGCAAGAAGCACACAGGCTGCCAAGCTACCATGCTACCAGCTACTACTATTGAGCTAGCTACCAGCTACTACTATTAGGCTACCAATACGTCCTGATACCACATTCTGCCAGCGCTTTCAAGAGCTTTTGCGAAGAGCGAAAATTCTGTTTCTTTTTTGTTTGTTAACTGCTGTTTTTGGCCGCAGTTCGCCTTGCGAATGTTTCACAAGAATGCTGGGTTGTGAACAAAACTTTCGCCCCAGGCGGGACTAGAACCCGCACCTCCGGGCAAGTGCGCTACCAGTTACGCTACCGGGGCACCATTTCATTCCAACTCAGCTTTTCATGGTATACGTACCATAGCTTTCAGCACTCACACGTATAACGTGTTGAGCCGGTTAGCCGATATCGGCAATGACCGCGAGGCTGAAAGCTTTAGCAATGATTTTGACTTTTTTGTTTGTTAACTGCTGTTTTTGGCCGCAGTTCGCCTTGCGAATGTTTCACAAGAATGCTGGGTTGTGAACAAAACTTATTTTGTAAACAAAAAACAAAACAAAACAAAACTAATAAATCTGTTCTTATTTATTGCTGTGCTACTTGAAACATCAAGAGTCGTATATTACGGCAAATCCGCATATTAAGAATTTCGGTGATATTTGCATTATTATATACAAATAATTTATGTCTGCGACACTCAACCGTAAATAACACATAGACTATCCAATAATAGGGTAGGATAGAATAGAACGAATATGAATATAACAAAATCTACTTATATACATACAATTTGCGTCTACACCCGCGTCGCGACCTCGCACAATGCACCGGGCGCCGCAGGAAGGTCGTTGTCAGACTTTGCAAATCCAGCGAATCGCTATACGAATCCATGGATTTGCTAGCAAGCCGGGAGATGCGAGCGATGCACAGTCAGTCAGCGAGTAAGTTCGCTGGCACACGTTAGAACACTGGCGCATCGCTGGCACCCCTCGAGTCGCAGCGAGTCCATGGATTCGCGAGGGCTTTGCTGAATTCGCAGAGTTTGGCAATGGCCCAAAAAATTGACGAGCGGTTAGTTGCTGTAGAGAAATCACTGCTGAACGAACTGTGTAACAACGAACAACATCAGCAGGGCTAGCATGGACTCAGTCAGGTTATCGGAGAAGAGCGGATTTCAGAGCGTTCTTAAATCTACCAAGGAAGTATATTAAAACACCATCTATTTGCTCTAGGTAGGTGGAAGTGACATATCCAACGGGGGATTCAACGAAGAAATATAATACCGATGCTGCGGTGAAGCTTAATAAAGCCACGAACGGAACAACCACCAACAACTCGATGGCACTTTCGGCATCCTGAAGGAATTGTAAATTGTTGAAGAGGTAGACGATAGGCATGTGAAGGAGGTAGGCGCTGTATGTGAGACGAGCCAGTATCGACCATATAACAGAGGTAGATTTGCTGGAAAATATACACTAAGTGTGACAGGTAACGAATCGAGTCCAAGATTTGTTCATGCAAATTTAGGGTTCCGGCTTCCGGAAACTCGTTGTAAGAGGCTTCACGCAAGTTTGAGAATCTATGTGGTCCGTTAGTGTAGATGTTCCGAAGTTTTGCGGTTCTTCACTGGGAATTAATGATTCTGATGGTTTTAGGTCCATATAGGTGAGGAAAATTTGAGCGTAGCCAAAGTGAAAATGATATTCGAAGAGTTTCGTTGTATTATAGATTTTCTGGGAGCTCTCTCTGGGAAAATATGTGTCGGGTGTTATAATGGCACCGTGTTGCTCAGAGTCTGAGATTGGAGTGGAAAGCCTCGCAGGAAAATCATTAAGCACATTCGAAATGAGACTTTCGGAGGAGGATCCTAATAAGGCCGGAGGCCGAAAAATAGAAATTACCTAGTCGAAAGGTAGGCGGCCCCCTGACGTGTGAGACGTTGCGCGTCTCGCAGCAGAGTGTACTCTCATTGGCCTAGTCAGGACATACCCCCATCGCTGTACGCCCACACCCTAGCCGTCTGACTCTAGCCATTTAGCAGAGAGAGCGTTAGCGTTGAAGAGGGCAGCACGATGAGAGTCGCATCAATGCGGAAATCAACGGCAAAGAAGGGTCCCATTTCTCGGGTTCTGAACCGTTTCTCATGGTTTTTTTCATCCTTGCACCATTGACCACTCGAGCTTGATTTGTTAGGTACTGCTCTTTCATCAGGAGCTTCACCTTTGGATTTGTCTTCTCAGCTTAAAGCAACAGTCCCAGCAGGGTTTTTACCTTCAACACTAATGTGGAACGATGCGCTAGCCCTAGTCAAGAACATAAGAAGTGTGACTGAACAAAAAACTCACCTTGGAAAGCCGCTAGAAAGGGAGCTGAACGGCTTCGAAGTGGGCGTGGTTGCTCAGTCGGCTGCAATCCCCTCGGCCGATTCCAACCACGCCCACTTCGAAGCCGTTCAGCTCCCTTTCTAGCGGCTTTCCAAGGTGAGTTTTTGTTCAGTCACACTTCTTATGTTCTTGACTAGGGCTAGCGCATCGTTCCACATTAGTGTCGAAGGTAAAAACCCTGCTGGGACTGTTGCTTTAAGCTGAGAAGACAAATCCAAAGGTGAAGCTCCTGATGAAAGAGCAGTACCTAACAAATCAAGCTCGAGTAGGTCAATGGTGCAAGGATGAAAAAAACCATGAGAAACGGTTCAGAGCCCGAGAAATGTGACCTCTAATTTCCAAGCTGATTTCCGCATTGATGCGACTCTCATCGATGCTGCTCTCT